CAAAACGGCAGTTCATCATATATCTCCTGTGTTAACAAAATTGTTCAATGCTTGTATTGGACTTAATTATTATCCGGAGGCCTGGAGAAAGTCAGCAGTAATGATTATAAAAAAACCTAATAAAGAAAATTATAAAGATCCGAAAGCCTACCGCCCTATAAGCTTGTCTTCTAATTTAGGTAAAATTTTTGAAAGTCTAATTCATATTGAACTTTTAAATCATATTAATAGTAATAATGTTATGCATCCTGCTCAACATGGATTTACACAAGAAAAATCAACAATCTCTGCTTTACAAGAAATAACTAAATTAAGTCTTCTGAAAAGAGAAACAGAAAATACGGCAATAGTAACAGTGGACATCAGCGGAGCTTTCGACAACGCATGGCATCCGGCAATTCTCCAACAATTGGATAAGGCAAATTTTCCAGCGGTACTTATAAAAATAATTAATTCTTACTTTGAAGACCGGAGTGTAGAGTTTAAATATACTAATGTAAAGTGTATAAAAAAGATAAATAAGGGATGTCCCCAGGGTGGTATTATTTCTCCTATTCTTTGGAATATATTACTTAATGATTTCAACTTATCTTTTAACGAAAGTTTTGCTAGAGTAATTGCCTTCGCGGACGATGTGACATTTGTGGTATGGAGTTCAAACATCTATGATCTTCAGCATAATATTACCAAATGTTTAATAAAAATCAAAGCCTGGTGTGAAAAGGTAAAACTTTCACTAAGTCCAAACAAAACAGGTATACTCTATCTACATAACTATGAAAAATTGCCCATTAATTTTGATGGAAAAATAATTCAACCATCAGAAACTGTTAAAATTTTGGGAGTTATTTTTAAAAATCATAGACAAAGGAATAAGATTAATTTTGGAACACATGTTGACAATATAATTATGAAAGCTACGAAACTTAAGAATATATTATTCTCATTATGTGCACGTACTTGGGGCATTGATACTCGGCGTAGATTGATCTTATATAAAGCTATGATACGCTCTAAAATAAGCTATGCATCAAATATTTGGTTTCCTTTTATCACTGCAGCAAAAAGATCCAAGTTGAATTCTATACAATATCAAATTCTTATTAGATGCATTCATGCTTATAGGACTTCATCTTCTTACATCACACATATACTAGCGAAAACCCCTTTACTGTCCGATTATCTTGAATTATTACAAACAAAGTATAATATGACAAATTCTCTCACAGATCGAACACTCAAAAAACCCCTTCAAAAAGAATTAAACAAACTATATCTGGATCAAAAATTTAAGTTTTATCTTTCTCAATCTAATGAACTGTTCAAGAAATTCTTTCCAATTGCTGTCCCAAATTTCATTTCTTCTGATAAATTCGCTACTTTATTCTTAACTGGCAAAGGACCCTTCTTAAGTTTCCTATTCAAACTGAATGCTATCAATGATCCAACATGTGAATGCCACTTAGATGTTGAATCACCAGAGCATCTTCTTTTATCTTGCCCTCTGACTAATCAAATTGTATGTAGATACTTTGAAACATTACCAAATTCTCTTTGTGTATATACTCTATCTTATGAGAACTTTGCTAAGTTTAGAACTATTTGTACAATAATTTACAAAACAATACTAATCCATCGTATAAATAATTAATCATATATATGTAAATAATACTAGCACAGCACAATAGTCCTTTGGACTTCGTGCTTTTGTAACAATAAATAATAATAATAAAAAATAAATGTATATCGTGATTCAGACAATAACTCTGAAAGATATTACAGTGACCTTTATTGAAGACACACGAGATAACCAAGTGTGAATATAATACACTCATGGACAAAAATTAAAGAAGTTGTACCTTTAGCATGTATATCGGGATACAGACAATAACTCTAAAAGATATTACAGTGACCTTTATTGAAGACACACGAGATAACCAAGTGTGAATATAGTACACTCATGGACAAAACTTAAGGAGGTTGTACCTTTTAGCATGTATATCAGGACAATAACTCTAAAAGATATTACAGTGACCTTTATTGAAGACACACGAGATAACCAAGTGTGAACATAGTACACTCATGAACAAAACTTAAAGAAGTTGTACTTTTTAGCATGTATATCGGGATTCAGACAATAACTCTGAAAGATATTACAGTGACCCTTATTGAAGACACACGAGATAACCTAGTGTGAACATAGTACACTCATAGACAAAACATAAGGAAGTTGTACTTTTTAGCATGTATATCAGGTTTCAGACAATAACTCTGAAAGATATTACAGTGACCATTATTGAAGACACACGAGATAACCAAGTGTGAATATAGTACACTCATGAACAAAACTTAAAGAAGTTGTACCTTTTAGCATGTATATCGGGAGTCAGACAATTACTTTGAAAGGAATTACAGTGACCTTTATTGAAGACACACGAGATAACCAAGTGTGAATATAGTACACTCATGAACAAAACTTAAAGAAGTTGTACCTTTTAGCATGTATATCGGGAGTCAGACAATTACTTTGAAAGGAATTACAGTGACCTTTATTGAAGACTTACGAGGTAAGCAAATGTGAAAAAAATTGCCTCTGTTTCCTTCAAAAAAAAAAAAAAAAAACAGAAACATCAAAATATGAAACTTCCTTAGGTTTTATCCATGAGTGGATATCTGGGTTTAATAGAAGAATTGGTATAAACCGTCGAATTTTGAGAGCCACGAACCGGGATCAAATCCCGCAATACAGTAAGGAGAGTATAAGTTAGTCTTATTTGAAAAAAGGAAAAAACTCGTGCTTATAATGTAGTTTCGTTCCTTACAAGGAGGAAGGTATTGCTGTGACATAGCGGTTACCCGCGGGTTGAGCGGTCGGTCGGCACCCCCGAGACAGGAATCCGGAACACCCGGGTGTTGAGAGAAAATCCTCAATAGAAAAAAACTTCCGCATCCGTCAACCTGCAGGGTAGGGAAGGAAGGGTGAAAGGCCGGATGTCGTACCGGTGGCTTCCGCCGCATTCCCTTGTCACCCTTCCTGTCAGAATTGTCGCCTCTGTGGGGGTTGGGTCATAACCGTACTGCACAAGTTAGACCGTTCCTTACATTCTCGAAGAGAATACTAACCCTTACTTTCATTATATTGATATACACTTTATGCAAATGCTATATGTATGGAATTACTTATTGACCACAGAGAAATGTGTTTTAATGTGCAAATATATGGCTCCTGAAAAATATCTTTAGAGAACAGTTTTTTTTTTCTGCGTTTATTTAAGTATCTATGCATAATAGGAAATGACATACACTCATGGACAAAACTTAAGTCTTTGATATCGCCGGTCGTGTCTGTTTTTCTTTTTTTTTCTTTTTTAAAGAAGATAGGTAATTTTGTTCACACTTAGTTATCTCGTTTGTCTTCAATAAAGATCACTGTAATATCTTTCAGAGTTATAATCCCGATATACATGCTAAAAGGTACAACTTCCTTAAGTTTTGTCCATGAGTGCATTAACTACAAGAATTTGTCATTTTATCTAAATGTCTATGTATACAAAATGGACTATGATTTACAAGAATTTAAGTTTAATCTGTGCTCCGTGCATGTGAAATGGTTTTTTTAACTACAATATATTACGTTTTATATCTACCTTTGTTCCAGATCTTGTTATGTAAATGAATAAACTATGAAAATGTTAAATATTTTAACGCTATTCTCTTTCTAAGTACAATAGAATCTCTCTGTAAAATACACCTAGTTGCAGAGACAAAGTGTCATTTAAGAAAAGATATCCTCTTACCGGAGAGTTGCTAAATAGGAAGAATGACAATTTTGACAATGAAAACTGTCCTTTGTAGAGAAGTGTCCTCTAGCATGAGTATCCTCTAATGGAGGTTCTACTGTATATATAATTGAAAGCTATATCTACAGCCCCTTTACTGCAATGAATAAAACTTAAAAAAAGAAAAAAAAAAGGGGGGGGGTGCATGACTAATCAGTGGTGAACCCACCCAGGGTTTTTTCCATTTTAATCTTCTCTCAGACCGCTCTACTACGACCAAATTCTGGTTCGTTTCCAAGGTGACTAACGTGGCAAAGGCACCCATTTTCCATGAAGAGGACACGACAACAACAACCGCTCTACTATTGCATTAGACTGCTGGTTCTAAAATCACTTTATTAGGTACCGCTCAACGAGAACAACCTAGTTTATGATAATTGAAACAATGAATAATATGCGAGTTATTCACATATAAAACAAAAGGTTAACGCGGGATTAAATCCTGGTTCATGACTGTCGGGAATCGAGGGTGTTACCTACTCGTCCACTGACTTTTATGCGTTGGTTGCATTAGACTGGATTTCTTATATCTCGTATATCCTACATTTGCTATTGAATACAGCAAATTGTTTTTTTTTTTAAATAACTACTGACATATGCTTCTAGGACTGTATAGGGGTATATCTAAATTAAAGATATAGTGCATAAAGCGATGCTCTTCCGCAAAGTCACAAATAAGCCTGTTAGACAACATTTAAAATACATGTTCATCCCCGACTTATAATTTAATAAAATTAACAAGCAATCCAGGATGCCAGGGACAATCCATATCCCTAGCTTTCGGGCTAACATGTCCTTCAACAGGAGCACCCAGCTAACTATACACGCCTTAATAAAGCCAAAAAACGTACATACAAGATTTCTGGCAAATTGCCTTTCCATGGATACAATGTATCCTTATTGTAACCGTTAAAGGGTGATTTGCCCGAAAGCTTGTATGTACCTTTGTTTATAAATGAAAGAAATTCTGCTCCCCCCCACCCCCTAGTCTTGCAATTTCTCTTCTACTAAATACACTCATGAAGACAAAACTTAAGGAAGTTGTACCTTTTAGCATGTATATCGAGATTCATACAATAACTCTGAAATCTACTTATATAATTGCCTTATTCTGTCTGTGTGAAGTTCACGGATAGATTTTGGTCAGAATGGATAAAATAAAAAAAAAAGTGTCAATCGAACCCACGACCTTCCGCTTACCGGGCAGATGCCATGACCACTAGGCCACATGACCACAATTTATAATTGTAACAAATAGTATTTGAATCAAAACATTCAATCGGGTAAAACACGGGCGTTGCCCAGGTCATTCGGCTAGTATATTACAATGACCTTTATATATAGGTAAAATAAACAGCATAATTGATTAAACCGATCTGGTTATTATTGTTGTCGTGTCCAATGAAGAGCCTCAGATATCCTCAAGCATCTCTATCACAGCAGTGTTTCTGTTTCGAATAGGAGCTATAGACGATCCAGGGTGTGGAGAGAGAAGGCAGGATTCCAGTCACCTGCTTATTGAATGTCTTTCAGAAATACAGAAAGCGGAAAGACATTGAATACAAGGATATTTTTATGTTTATAAATAGTAAGGACTCATATTTAAAATTTAGGAAATTCTGTAAATATATCTATGATGTTCTCTCTTTGTTAGAAAAACCTTAATTGCTTACTATGTATATATTTGTATTTGTTTCATTGTTATTTTTATTTATTTATTTTTTGTTTTCAATGATTTCTGTGAAATAGTTCTCTGTATGTTGTTGCTTGATGTAAGCATCCTTTGTGAGGATATCGCGTCTGATTTGATAATAAATAAATAAAATCTCTATCACAGCAGTTGCAATGTCCACTATCTTCGTTCTTCATTGGAAATTGGGTACCGTTGACACGTCAGTCACCTTGGACCAGAATTTGGTCGAATATTCCAAGGGTCCAGGGTGGGACCACAGGGAGAACCTATCTGGTAGATTATTTTAGAGAAATTAGTACATAGGAGAGGGATGGGTCATCATAGATAAACCCAAACCATCCTAAAATACATTTTCATCTTTCACTTATTAATCGAAAAATTTCCTTTTCTATGAATTTCCGAAAAAAAGTCACAAAAAGAATTTCATATCTTTTAACATATTAAAAAAAAACTTTCCTATTATATAGCTTTTTTTTTTTATTACCAAAAGAAAATAATAATTACAAAATTTATGTACAAATTTCGATTACACTTAGAAACGCACTCCCATTAAAATGTAAAAAAAAAGGAAAATATCTAGCTACATTGGCCCTCCCTTTTTTTTCTTTTTTTTTATTAAAAACAAAGTCGTTCAAAGAGAGTCGTGGGCTAAAATTAAATGGCAAGCTATTTTTATATACAATATATTAAAAAAATAGAGTTGCAAAAGTTTAATTAAAAATTTCCTTATTATTAATTTTTAAATTAAAAAAAAAGAGCAGCAAGAGTGGATAAAATATAAAGTTTTCTTAATCTCGAGCCCAGAGCTTATTAAACTTGTTGGTTGGGGGAATGAGACGAGGGTACCCAATGGCGTAATTCTTTAGCAGACGAATTTTTATAACTATTTTTTTTCGATACCGTGTTAATATAAGAAAACGTGTATTTTTTATATTCTTTATATTTATAAATAGAGAGAGCAAATACATATATATTTATATATATTATGAAAAAGGCATCTCCTTATCGTGCAACTAAAAGTTTCTGATGGCTTGCGCCATCTATCGGAATAAATATCAACTATTCTCGTTGATTTTTTTATTATTCCAGAATTGGCCAAATACCCATTCTTGATTAATCAAGAAAAGCTAACCATGGACGCGTTTCTGACTGTTGGCCCTCATCAGCGTGGTGCAAGTTGCATCTCAACAACCAAACAAACTGGTCATTCAAGTATCCTGAAAATCATGAAATGGGTAGTTAAGCCCAGAATTGCGTGAGACCACGACATAATGTGAAAATACAATATTACATTTATATATACGTGTGTGTGTGTGTTTTCTGTTTCACTAGATGGCGTTCTGCAATCTAAAAAGCTCATGTGAGCGGTCAGGACATGGCTATTTTGTTTTGAATATGTATATATACATATCTCCCTATATATAAAAGTCAACTTATATTTATTTGTTCCTTATACGTTTCCTCAATTCAATATACAGTTAAACCTGTTTATAGCGCCCCCTCTTGGGACTCACTAAATTAGGGTGCTATAGACAGGTCACTTTTAGTGTAAATCGCATCGTAATACGTATTTATAATCGGGCGCTATAGAGAGGGAGGCGTTATTTAGAGGGGGCGCTATAGACAGGTTTAACTGTATAACCAACCTGGCTGAAATTTTTAACAAGATATAGAGTTAAGTCTGGAAGGAGTTTTTGCCACATTTTCAAACTAAGAAAATTCATATTAATCTAATACAAGGCTAATTTATCTGTTTGAGTCAGAGAGAGAATATAATTATGATAATTTATATTGATAAATCTTGTTTGATGACAAGAAACAATATTCTATTGGCGAACATTCATTCTTTGTATATTTTAGAGAAATATCAAATCACACATTTATTCTGAATATATAGAGCAATCCATATTTAAATATTTAGATAATAAAAAGGCATATATTGGATTGAATAAAATATTTATTTACCAATATTCCTTTATATATAGGATTAATTTCATTAAGAACAATTTATGTATATAAATGTTTCTTTGTGTGTCAACTAAGGCCTAAATGCAACAATGTGGGACATGGGGTGGATATAAGAAAACAGGGGAAAAGCATAAGTTTTCTGGCATAACATTGAACTTCTAGTTTTGTATCTGTTTGTATACAGTTTTACTTAGTTTTTTCTCTCACTGAAATGCACAAAACTCATCTCTATTTATCTATAATCTATTAAATGGTTTTTGTTTTTCTTAAGTTGAAACACCGCAATTTCGATGAACAAAACATCCAT